CTTTCTTTCTTTCTTTCTTTCTTTCTTTCTTTCTTTCTTTCTTGATAATAATCATTCAGACTGAGATGATATGGCATCTCTCCACTCCATTATTTCCTTGCTGTGCAGAAACTTCTTGGTTTGGTAATCCCATTTGTCTATTTTTATTTTTTTTGCTTTTCTTGTCTATGATTTGGGGGTCTTATAAAAAATCATTGTCTATACCAATGTCTGCATTTTCTTCTAGTAGATTTGTAGTTTCAGGTCTTAGATTTACGTCTTTGATCTAAATTGATTTTTGTTGATTGTGAGAGAGAAGGATTGAATTTCATCCTTCTTCATATGGATATCCGATACATTTATTGAAGAGGGTGTGCTTTTCCCAATGGGCATTATTAGTGCCTTTGTTGAGAATCAATTGACTTTAAATGTGTGGATTTATTTCTGAGATCTCCCTTCTGCTTCAGTGGTCCATTTGTAAATTTTTATGTTGATATCATCCAGAATTGGTGTTCCCAGCCCCATATTATGTCTTGAGATGAACATTGTTATGTGTTCAGACTTCTTCTTTTTGTTCAAGATTGCTTTGGCTACTCAGGGTCTTTTGTGCTTTTATATGAACTTTAGGATTTCTACATCCCTCATTTCTGTGAAGAATATCATTGGTATTTTGATGGCGATTGCATTGAATGTGTAAATTGCTTTTTGTAATATAGTTGTTTTAACAATATTAATTCTTTCTATCCATGAACATGAGAGGTCTTTCCAATCTTTGTGTGTGTGTGTCTTCTTCAATTTCTTTTATCAGTGTTTATCATTTCCATTATAGAGGTTATTCTCTTCCTTAGCCAAAGTTATCAGTAAATATTTTTGTTTTTATGTTTTGATCATAAATGGGAATATTTTCTTGATTTCTTTCTCAGAAAGTTCTTTATTGTTGTATTAAATGCTACTGATTTTTGTATGTTGATTTTGTATCCTGCAACTCTACTAATAGTTCTAATCATTTTTTGGTTGAGTCTTTCATTTTTTTCCCCTTGTGGACAAAGACAAATTGACTTCCTTTCTTTTTATTTATATGCCTTTAATATATATTTTTTTGCTTCTTACTCTGGCTAGCAGTTCCAGAGTCTTTGTCTGTATTTTAGAGTAAATACCTTTCTTACAGAGTACAAGGGAATGCGTTCTGAAGGAAAATAACTGTCAGCCAAGAATACAATACCCTGCAAAGCTATCCTTCAGAAACAAAGAAGAAATAAAGGATTTCTAAAATAAGCAAAACCTGTGGGACTTTATCACCACCAGATCAGCCTTACAATAAGGTTTAAAGGAGTCTATACCTAGAAGCAAAAGAAAAATAACTACCATTATGAAAACATATAAAAATATAAAACCCACCAGAATAGCATATACTCAAAATAATAAAAAAGAAAACCATGAAGATAAATAGTAACAGAAGAATAGAACAAAGAATGTTCAAATTCCAGAAGAAAATTAACAAAATATCAGGAATAAATTTTTACATATCAATAACTTGCACATAAAAGCATTAAATTCCTCAATTAAAAGATACAGACTGGCTGAATCACTAAAAGGCAAGACTCAACAATAAGCTGCGTATGAGGAATTCACTTCACTGTGAAGACACATACATGTGAAAATAAAGGGATGGAAAAATATATTCTACACAAATGGAAACCAAAAATGATCAGGAATAGCTATACTTATATAAGATAAAATAGACTTTAAGTCAAAAGTTATGAAGAGAGAAAAAGAAGGTGACTCTATAATGATCAAGGGATCAATTCAACAGATATAACACTTGTAAATCTATATGGAACTCATGCTGGAGCACAAAGTTTTATAAAGCACACATTTTTAGATATAAAGGGAGGGACAGGACCCAATACAATAACATTTGTTTTTCAACACCTCACTTTCCTATTGGAAATACCAATCAGAAAACAACAACAACAACAACAACAACAAAGAAATACTGGAATTAAATCATAGCATATATCAAGTGGACTTTACATTTGTAGAACATTTCATTTAACAGCTGCATAAATTATTTTCTTGTCATGAGCACATGGAACATTCCTCAGGATAGGCCATATATTAGCCCACAACATATATCTCAACAAATAGAATACAAAACCATATTACATGTCATTTCTGATCACGATGAAATAAAACTAGAAACCAACAACATAAGGAACTTTAGAAACTGTACAAATTCATTGAAATTAGATAAAGTGCTATTGAATGAACAACAGGTCATCAAATAAATCAAAATAGAAATTAAAAATTTCTTGAAACAAGTGAAAACAGGAAACCCACATACCAAAATTTATGGAAAATAGCAAAAGCAATACTGAGAGGGATGTTTATAGCAATAAATATCTACATCAAGGAAATACAAATATTTCAAATAAACAGCCTATTGGTGCATCTCACAGAACTAGAAAAGCAAGAACAATACAAAATTTTTGAAATGGTGGAAGGAAAAAAATAGCACATGTTAGAACAGTAATAAATGACTTGAAGAATTAAAAATACAAAAGAGCAACTAAACAGAGATTTTTTTTGAAAAGATAAAGTTGATAAACCTTTACCTAGACTTACCAATTAAAAAGGAGGCAATACCTAACTAAACAAAATTAAAGATGAAAAAGGGGACATTACAACTTATACCACAGAAATACAAAGGATTATTAGGGACTATTTTGAACAACCATACACCAACAAATTGTGAAAACTAGAAGATGCAGATAAATTTTTGAACACCTATAGCCAACCCAAACTGAACGGTGAAAATATAGGAAACCTGAACTGAACGAAAGTAACACAATTCAATCCACAATAAAGTCTCCAGCAAAGAAAAACACAAGAGCAAATTACTTTGCTGTACCAATTCAATAATGTTTATTTTTTTGTGCTAAGGATTGAACCCAGGGCTTTGTTCATGGTATCACTGAGGTAGTTTTAAAGAAGAACTAAAAGTTTTAAAGAAGAACTAAAATAAATCCTTCTTAAGTTGTTCTACCAAAATTGAAATAGAGGAAACTCTTCAAAACTCATTTTACAAGGTCAGCATTACCCTGATACCAAAACATGACATAGGTATGATAAAAACAGAAAAGTATAGACCAATATCCCTGATGGGCATAGCTGTGAAAATTACCAATAAAACACTTCCAATTCTAATGTTAAAGCACATCAAAAAGATCACACACAATGATTAATTGGGATTTATCCCAGGAATGCAAGGAAGGTTCAACATACTCAGACCAGTAATTGTAATACAGTTTTGCCTACCTCTCTCTGTGCTTTGAAAACTCTAGGCATTGTTATTTGGATCATCTTTTTATGCAGTGGGAAAGCGTTCACAATGCACTTTACTTGGTTAATGGAAATCTATACTGCTTATCAGTTTTTGGTCAAGCTGGCCATATTCTACACATACATGTTGTCTTGAAGTGAAGTTTTCACTGAATACCTCTGACCAGATGTGTAAACTTTTGAGTCCGAATCTTGGTTTCCTCATCTACAAAATGGAGATTAGAACATCTGTGTTCCAGAATTGTATAGAAAAAAAATGTTTATCAAATAAAAGAAGTGGGAGCAATAAAGGTGTTTAATAGAAATTAGCAATATATACTGTAAGAGTTTAACATTTTGCTTTGTAATGCTTCCATGTCCCTTGGACAATATTTCCCTTTGTGTAC